GGTGAGGATTAAGGGAGGTGACAAATACAAGGGCTTGAGAAACAGCTCCTTAATCCTTTCTTAACTCTCTGTCTTGTTCATGTGTTGTTATGAGGATTAAGTAAAACAGAGTCTAAAGTACTGAGTCAAGTTTCTCTGCCAGTGTGACCATGGGCCAGCTATCTACATTCTCTGGGCTTTCTTTCCTCATACTTAAAATGGGCACATAGCCATTATTGCCTCCTAGGGTTATTGCAAGGTTAGTACATCCGAAGGGCTTAGGAGGCACCTAACATTCAATAATCACTAGCTACTTCTGTCTTGAAATTATCAGTAACTGCACAATGCATGCAAGTCCTTAGGGTCATGGGCTGATTTCACTGCAGCTCTGCCTTAGGCTTCTGTCCTGGGCCTGTGACATGTTTCAGAACCTCCATACCCTGCCTCTGTGTTGTAGAAGGTAGAGTTCAGGGCTCCCATGACTCTGGCCTCTGGGAGAGCTGTCTCTATGAGATTTCAGGAAAATGCCAGCCTTTGGCCTTTTCAGACGGCCACCAGGGGACCCATCCATCTGGATGTTGTCGATGTCTTTAGGCATAGTCAGGATGAAATTCTGTCCACTCACAAGAGGAGCTCCCTTTGGAAGTGGTTTCAGGACAGGACTAAGCATGTGTCTGCAAACAGGACAAAGAAGACCATGACATGAGCCTTCTTTCCCTTTTTGCCTTAACTGCCAGATTCCATCTCACATAGAATGATTTGCTCACTGAGGGCAGGGCAGTGTGAGTGTGGGCATTGAAGCCAGATAAATTCAGACCTCCACCCCTGTGCTCATTGCTGTGCCACTTCAAGCAAGTGGCTTCATCCCTTTGAGCCTGTTTTGTCCTCTGTCAAAACAGAGGAGTGGGAACCCTGTGAGTTCTGCCTTCTGCTGGCTGTAAGAATTCGGCAACAATACTCACCTGGCAGGGGAGATACCATGATCACAAGAATTCGGCAACACCTTTCTCTTCTGAGCTTTGGTGTCCTCTCCTGCAAAATGGGACCTGTGTCCTTGACCACACTGTCAGACTGTGATAAGGACTCCAAGGGTGCAGCCTAGTGCTCCCTATGTGGTTGGCAGTTTGTAACTGGCAACTGAAAAATGATGCTTTTGCAGGTGAAGACCCAGGAGGTTTGGGAATCGAGATTTTCTAGGCAGGTTTACAAAAAAATCAGAGTCTTCCTGTAGCAAGTTTACAGCCAAGCTCTGTGGTTTGTCCCTAGCCTGGATTCTTAGTTCTTGAGGTGTGGGGAGGGGCTGGGCCCACACCCTGGAGTATGGGATCGTTCTACTCCATCTCCGAAGTGGTCTCCCCACCCCAGCTCCTTCTGTGCTCTTTCCACATGTTGCACCTGGCTGCTGCTCCGAGCTGTGATCCTGCCAGGTCCCACCACATGGAGCAGTGCCAGGGAGCTGCCAGGCCCTTCCACTGCCCACTGATTGTGGAGGCTCCCTGGATATTGCACAGTCAAGAGGCAGCACATGCACCCAGCAACCCCTGAAGCCCAAGTGTGAGGGGCTGTGCCAAAGGAAGGTGGCCTGGTTTGTGTATTGCTAGATGCCGTGTGTGTGTGTGTGTGTGTGTGTGTGTGTGTGTGTGTGTGTACATTAAGTCCAGGAGCAGCTGAGACTGGAGACTAGTGTCCAGGCCCAAATACACTCATCCCCTGTGCCCTGGCACTCAGGCTGACTATCTTCTGTTACTCTGGGGAACCGAGTTTAGAGAATGAGGCTCAATGAGAGACAGGCCTGGGTTCAAATCCCAACTCTTCTTAGTAGTGGAAGAGCCTGAGGCAAGGAACTGCACCTCTCTGAGGTTCCATGTCCTTGGCTGGAAAGGAGAATGGTAGAAGCTCTCTCCTTTGGTGTGACATGACTGAACCTCTTGGAAGAAGGGAGACTCAGATGCCAGCCATGGTCACAGAGACTCATGCGCAGCCAATGCACAGAGCCCCCCAGTCCTTCCCTTTCCTTCTTACTCTCAGCCCCAGGGCCCTCTCTGCAGACAGAGGGTCAACACTGTTCCAACTGGTCATGCTTGGGAACTAGGTTGGTGGAGAAACCAACAGGGCCTCATGTCCCAGGAGACCAGCTTGACACCCATGCAACAGACAGGGGAGGATGTTTGGCATTTCTCCTGGCCTTGAGCATGCTCAGGGTGCATGAACTTCATGCCACAAGCTGCTCTTGGGGCCAGAAGGGACTTGGTGGATGACCACCCTGGAAGATAAACTTCCGGAGATGGGTAATTTAAGGAGCCCTGCCACTGCAGGCCTCCCTGGGAACCCCACACCTGGTTTATGCACCTCCTGGGACAGGGGTCTTCCTCCCTCCCAAAGCCACCCACCCCACCTTTGTGGAGCAGCTTTGTTTTCCTTCTCCAGTGCAGTACTCAGAGCCAAAGCAACTTCTAGAATGATCTAATCATCATGTGCTGGAGCAGCAAGCCTCTCCTTTGCTCTGAAGCTGTATTTCTGTTTTGCTTGTTTTCTTTTCCCTATGTATAGCACCTTGATCATACCAGGGTCCAGGGTGGGCTTTATCAACTAAAACTCATCCCTTCACCTCTCTTCACCTCTCCTCACCTCATTCCTTCCCTCCCTCTCTCCCTCCCTTTCTTCTGTCTTTCCTGCCTTCTTTCTTGTCTTCTCCCAGATCAGAGCAACGCATCTGTGCATTTTACCCAAATATGTATGGAGCAGCCCTGCATGGGCACTGGGGGCTCGTAGATGAATGAGTCTGTATCCAGAACTTTCCATGTGGCAGTGGAGAGGACAGAAAGGTAACAGCGTAGACACCAGTGGCACTACCCTGAGGGTTTAATCAAGGGACAAGACAAAGTACAGAGGGACCTCAGAGGGGTGAGCAAGCACTGCATATGCCCAAATATAAGGCAACCCCAAAAAAGATTGAGGGCCACCCTCATTCTCCCCACAAGAAGACACACAATAAAGTTGAATAATATAAACTTTATAAGGTAGAGATAAAATAATCAGATGTCTATTTGTAATATTTATTACCCTAGACATCCATATTTAAAACTGTTTTTATATAAAATACAAATGGAAAGACGGCTTTTGTCCACTTTCAAACTTTAAGAAACTGTTTGATTCAAATTCTCTGTGTGGCTTCGACACAAATGTCCCCATCATGAGAGAGTGGCAGCCTTTTTTCTCAGAGCATGTCCCAGTCACAGGGATCTAGATTCTAAAAAGCAGCCCTTGAAATCCATACATCAGGCCCTCACTGGACTGGCCTCTCTGCCACAGCTGGATCACACCAGGACTTCATGGGAGAAAGTGAGCATTTGTCACCTTCATAACATGGCGCCTCACTGGGTATTCTGAAGGCGACCTTGAAAAGGCCTGTGTGCAACAGCCTGGTACCCTTCAGGTCACAGAGTCCTGTTTGCTCTCCATTGCGCTGGATAAAATTCCCCAGCCTCCTTCTGGAGCAGTATTAACCTCTGGGTGTGTCCCAGACTCACCTGGACAGCAGGTGCCTCAGCTAATGGACCTTTCCCACCAGATCATGGAGGTTAAAAATTAAGTCACTGAGAGGGCATCTGTAATGCATGAAATTAGTAATTCAAATACGAGGCACCACGGCAGACATGCAGACATGTGATCATTCTGGGTGTGGCTTCCCAGAGGTGGAGCCCTGAACTGACCTTGAAGAAGGAGAGACTTCTGCAACCAACACACACTCTAGGCAGAGGGCACCAGGGAAACCAAAGCCAGAGGCTGTCTCCTGGATACTCCCTCTGTATTCACACAGCTCCAGGCTGACCTTGCAGCTTCCCAGCTGGGAGATCTTGGGCACCTCGCCTCCATTCTCTCTGAGCCTCAATTTCCCTATCTGGGAAGGGGAGGTAATAACACATTTCATAAGGGCTTAAGGGATACAAAAGGATGGCAATTTCAGTAAGAAAAAAAAAATGGTCTGGAATTGGGGCTCCTTGAGCAAGTCTTTGGTCCTCTTGGACCTCAGGGTTTCAGTCTGTAAAACAGAGCTCAAGGAAGGCATAGACTAGAAGCCCACCCCCACCCCCCACACACACGTGTGGCAGGGCACCCACACAGGACAGGAGCTCAGAAAAGACCTCAGGGGCGAATGAATAAATGAATGAATGAATGAATGAATAAACGAGAAATGCCTCTTTGCCCTCTGCAGGAGCGCTGGCGACCTCTTCCCATGGGTAGTTCCTTCCTTTCCAACAGGTGGAGTTTACACCCCCCACCCCAGATGCTTCCTAAAGCCCCCAAACAATGCCACTCGTCTTATTTTTTTCTTCCTGGGTTTGATCACTGTGTTATATGACCTTAATTGTTTGTCATTTCTCTCTCCACTACTAGCATGCCCTTTCCATGACAGTGGAGACCTTGTCTGTATCTACCGGACTCAGCTCAGTGCCTGACACATAGCGTGTGCTCCAGAAACATTTTAATGAAAGACTGTGAATTAATAAATATGGGTGCCCTCCTCCCAGTCTTGCATGCAGCGTAGAGAGTAGAAAAGTCCCCAACCCCAGGGCACCTTAGCTGGATTGTCCTCAACCCCTACACTGCCCCTGTGACCTTCTGCCTGTGTGCACGTCTCCGGCCCCACCCCACTTGTATCGCCCCCGGAGCTGGGCCATAGCCCGAGGCGGCCTGGCTCCTGGAAGAGGCCTTGACACACAGTAGGCTTCTCGAGTTATGGGTCTGAGTAAAAGGCCAGCAGACCGACGAGCCTGGCATAGACCGTACCCAATTGCCGCGCGCGCCTTTCAGGCCCGGGCGCGGGAGCAGGAGGGCGGGAGGCCGGGCCGAACCTCTCCCGCCGCCCGGTGCAAACTTTCAAAAGATGCGGCGGCCGCTGCAGCCCCGCCCCTACACGGTTGGAGGCGGTGGAGGCGGGGGCGGAGCCGGCGGGCCCGGGCCGGTGGCTCCGCCTCCTCCTCTGGCAGCTGCCGCCGCCGCCGCCGCCGCCGCCGCCGCCTCCCTCCCGGCGCCCGCCCAGCTGCCGCCCGCCGGCTCGCCCGTGCAGCGGCAATGCCCGGGAGCCCGGCTCCGGCCCCGGCCCCGGTCCCCAGCCCGCCGAGGAATTAGCCTCCGCGCACCGCGAGCGCGCCGCACAGACCTCGCACCCGAAGCAAGGATGGGCAACACGGTGCACAGGACCTTGCCAGGTACGCCGCAGAACCCTGCTTGAGAGGCGGGCGCCGGGCTTCTCCTCTCCTCCGGGCACCGGCAGGGTGACTCCCGGGGAACCACCCCACACCCCTCGGAGCCCTCGGCCCTCACCGCGCTGGAGTCTAGTGCCTCCGGCTGCCCGGCTCCGTGCGCCCACCCCACAGCTGGGCTTTGCGCTCCGGGAGGCGGGTACCGAGTCCGGGTTACCTTGGGGACCCCCGTCCTCGTTCTCTTGGCTTTGGGCAGATGCCCGAAAGAGCCGCTGGGGCGATGCCGCCTGCCCCCTCGCCTTTGTTGCAGCCCGAGGGCGCTGACTGACTAACCTGGGGCAACCCGGGAGTGACTGGAGCCAGGCTCGCCCGGGTTCCGACGGTCAGGGACCGCGGGCGGTGCGGAGGCTGCAGCTGCTGACGGTGGGGGAGGTGTTCGCAGGGGTCCTCCAGTTTGCAGCCTGCTACAGCCTCCGCGGCACATGCTCCCTTGCCTTGGCCACGTTCCCCCGCGAACCCCTGCGGCGCCCCCCTCTGGTGTGCGCTCAACTAGGGGGTCCTTAGCCTCATTGGAGTCGGAGCTGCAGAGCGCGTCGCCCCCTACCTAGCCTACCTAGCTAAAAGCACCCTAGAATTTCCGGGACCCGAGTAAGGGGATCCAGAATGGTGGGGTGGGGGAGTTGGGGGTGAGAGTGAGAAAATACCTGGTAATTGCGGGAACTCGGGAGGCTGTGGGCCCAGTACTTTGCATACCCGAGCACCGGCATGTGCGGTATGCAGAGAAGCTGACCACAGAGGCAGGCATCCCCCGTTTAACACGTGAAGAACTTGAAGCTAGAGAAGGGGAAACGACTCACCCAAGGTCTCACAGTTACCAGTGGTAGCATCTGAATGGGGCTGATCTGTCTACCTGTCCCCCACCCCCAGGGCTCTAAGTCTTTAAAAGAAATAGTTTGGGTTAAAGGCTGGACATTTATAGCATCCTTAGAGCAAAAGGCGAGTTCGGGGTGTGTGTATATGTATGTGTGTGTAAAGTATAAAAGCACAGCTCAGGTGAGAAGCAAGTCAGCTGTGGGTCAAATTCAGTGTGAGGTTTTGGCAGAGGGAATAATAACCCCATATCAGCTCGAATATTCCCTCATACCCCTTTCTTCTGGGCATTATCTGCAGTTATCAAAAACTACTTATCCCCCCCCCCCCCGGAGGGAACTGCAATACATGGTGCTGAGCCTGGAGTCCCAGGGATGGCTATGGAAAAGGAGCACACTCCTTCCACCAAATAAGCCTCTGGGCAACTTCAGGGCAACTGCTCTGCAACTTTCTAATTCTGACAGGCGGAGTCACCAGCCAGTCAGTGGCAGACATAGGATTGGAACTCAGGTCTGCTTACTGGAGGGTGGCCTCTACTTCCTGTGCAGTGGCTATGGCAGGGCTGCGGGGACCCAGCCTACCCACCAGGAAGGATTCAGGAGGCTGCTGGAGGTGGTAGCAGATGTCCCAGCCACAAAAGACACTGGCTAGAAACACCGCCACATGGGCTCCTTTATTCAATTTCTTAATTAAGACATGTTTATGCTATTCTTGTAAAAAAAAAAAAAACACAAAAAAACCCAAAAAACACTTCTGCCACCTGTGGGCCAGCTTGGAGTGACTGAAGGGACAGACACACTCCTGGGAGGCCACATAGAGCTGAGAATTCCTGCAGTGTCTGTCCCATCTGGCCCTCTCTGTGGACTGGTGTCCTAGGCTGAGGGTCCAGGAGTAAGGCTGACTACCCATGCTGCATCTTTGAGGGGGAGAGCCTATCCTCCATGAGGCTTGAGGCTTGCATTCATTTGAGGAAGGGGACAGGATGGGAATTCCTGAGTCACATCAGGTAGTGGGTGGCAAAAACACAAGGGAGCTGTTCTTGGTTTTCTAATCTACCTACTGTTAGTTTCTTGCACACACTGCACTATTTTCCATACATCTGTGCTCAGCAGGTGATGCCCCTTACAGCACCTGGAATGTCCTTTGTTAGCTAGTCTGTTTCTCCAAAGCCAGTTCGGAGGTCACTTTTTCCAGAAAGCCCTACCCGATCACTCACAGTCCCATCCTTTTGCTCCACAACCTGGATCCCTCTGCTTGTTCATCTGACCCCAGTACATTATCATCTCCAGGACTCTCCTTAGGGTTCCCCAAGGACAGAACCCATGTCTTGATCATCTTGCATCCCTGGATGCCCATGCCAGAGCCTAGTGCCTGGCAGGGGCTTAAAACCTGGTGCTGGAGCTCAGATAGTGCCTGAATTTTCAACTGAAAGAACACTTGGCTCAGCCTTGCCCTGAAGAATCCTTGAGCTTTCATTCTCAGGAAAAGGACACATGCGTGGGGTTCTTTCTAAGGGACTTGAAATAGAGAACTGGCATTTGCCGAGCACCTGGATTCCATGCCAGGCTTTCTGCATATGTGGCTTCGTTTACATGCCAAGCACGAGTCTCCTTAAGGCTCCTGCACTTGCTGGTCCCTGAGCCTGGAACATTCTTCCCCCAGCCCCTACATGGCTTCGCCGTTGCCTCCTTTGGGTCTCTGTTCCGATGCACTGCCTGCCAGTTGCCCCTACTGCCATACCTCCCCTCCCCCTTCACTCTGCTTCATGTTTCTCCCTAGTATGTTCTACATGCTGTCTGTGTGGCTAGCTGCTTATTCTCTGGCTCCTCGGGTAGATTTTTGTCTTTTTTTCACTGCTATATGTTGAGTGGAGCAGAGGCTAATACATAGTAAAGGTTCAGTAAATAGATATAGAATAAATGGATTGAATTCTCCCAACAGTCCTACAAGGTAAGAATTATCTTCCCCATTTTATGAATGAGAAACCAAGGCCCAGAGAGGTAAAAGGATTTGTTGCAGCCCACATGGCTCATCCAGTTGGCAGAGCCAGGATTAAAATCCAGGTTTATAGAGCTCCAGAGTTCTGCATTCCTCCCCCAACATGCAGTATCCTCCCAGCCGTGATAAACATTTACTGGATGTCTCACTGTGCACATGCTATGCTACAGTGTGTAATAAGGAAATGCCAAGGTGACGGAAGTTCCTTCGTGATGGATGACAGGGAAGCCCCTTAGCAGCTCTCACAAAGTGCATTAGCTTATTCCGATGAATGTGCCCTTTACACAGGAGTGCTTAGGGCTCTACCTGGGGCTTTGCGTCTGCTAAGCTCCTCCTATGTGCTTCACCTGTTCTCTTTCCAGTTGCAGTTCAGCTCTGCAAAGTGGGGCGCCACTCTCTTCCATTTTACAGATGAGGAGACTGAGACATAGAGAGGTAAACACACTGGCCCCAACTCACAGGGGTAGTAGCAAAGTTGGGATTTAGAAGACTGCCTGTTTCTGAATACCACACAGTCCTTTACTCGCCACTCCATTAGCCTCCACCTGGGTTTGCAAGGGGAAAATAAAAGTATAAACAGGTTGGGGGCAGCATTCCAGGATGAGGCAGTCAGTCTCTCCCCAGTCCATTCTAACTCCTTCCCTGTGTGCCTCCAGGCTTCACTCGGAGTTAGGGCTGGAGAAGAGACTCAATTTAAACTGCAAGTTGGGTTTAATCATTAAGTTGGTCCGCGCTTGACCAAGCCAGTGGCTTTTTACTGTTAGCTCAGTCCTCAGGCATCCTGGAGCTTTGGGGTGAGGAAAGTAGGTTGGCCTTGCTCTGCTATGGGCATCCCAGAGCAGGCCAGAGCAATACCCACATTATCTATATTCACTTCACATTAATATCCATGTATAGCATGAAAAAATGTTCAACATCACTGGTCATTCGAGAGATGCAAATGAAAACAACGCTGAGATTCCACTTCACTCCTGAAAGAATGGCTGCTATCATGAAATCAACCAATAACAAATGCTGGCAGGGCTGTGGGGAAAGAGGAACCCTGCTGCACTGCTGGTGGGAGTGTAGACTGGTGCAAGCACTGTGGAAATCGGTATGGAGATACCTCAAAGAACTAGGACTGGAAGTCCCATTTGACCCAGCTATTCCACTGCTGGGGATCTTCCCCAAAGAATTAAAAGGATCATACCACAGTGATGTATGTGCGCCTATGTTTATAGCAGCACAGTTTGTAATAGCTAAAACTTGGAAACAGCCCAAATGCCCATCAACTGGAGACTGGATAAAGAAAATGTGGTTTTTTTATAAAATGGAGTACTACTCAGCCATAAAAAATGAGAAATTAGAGACATTTATAGCTAAGTGGATGCACATTGAGGCGATACTCTTAAGTGAAATAAATAGGACACACATGTGTAAATACCGAATAGTTTCTCTAGTGTGAGAAACTGAAAGCGTAAATAAGGACTAAATGTATAATAGGTCATGTGAAATAGGAAGAAAAGGGGCAAAGGGGAAGGAAGTGGGAGGGCTAGGGGAAAGGATAGAAGGGAATGGGATTAATATGAGAAAATGGAAAAATAGGAACAAAATCTTTGTAAATAGGGAGGACTGGAGGGGTTGAAGGGAGGGCTGGGAAAGGGTGAAAAAATAAGAACCAAGAGAGACTATGTAAAGGTGCAAATTTCCAATGCTGAATGTCATTATATTGTATACCTAAAATGTACCAATGATTAGAATGAATAATTGATAATGTAAAATAGGAAGAAAAGGTCCAAAGGGGTAGGGGTAGTGGGAGGGACAGGGGAAAGGAAAGAAGGGAAGGGAAAAATGTTGAGAAATGGAAAAAATGGAAATAAAGTCTTCGTAAATAGGGAAGGGTGGAGGGCGTGAAGGGAGGGCTGGGAATGGGGAAAAAATAAGAACCAAGATGCATTACATAAAGGTACAATTCCCAATGAGAAAAAAAATCCATGTATAGGAGCTATATTTGCCCCATTTTACAGGGCAGCAAATGAAGGTCCCAAGGTCAAGGACGAGGGTACCCAAGGTGTAAGGAGGAGAACCAGTCTTCCAAATTTAGGTGGATGGTGTGCAAATGCTGCATCCAGAGTGGGGATGCATTTGCACCTACTCAG